CGTGCTATTCTCGCTTGTCTCGTCTTGAACAAGCTCGGTGAGCATGGTCCAAGGCAGAGAGATAAAACGAAAAGAAGGATAAGACTACAATAGTACAGCAATAGGGGTGCCTCATGCAGCAGAGGCAGAGGCAGATTCGGAGTGCCGGAAAAGCGCGATTTGAGTGTCCAGAAATCGAGGCACGACAATTTCACGACGATGTAGATAGGCAGAAACAAAAGACAGGAGAAGCTAACATTACGCGACCTCAGGTTGGGCAACCTTTTTGGCGGGCCCTCTCCCGTTGGTGTGTCCCTCTCGAACTCCTTTTGGGCTGAGGATCGCCAGGCTGACTGCGCCGCGGATGACGGAAGGACGGGGGATTGGTTCTGGTGGGACGGATTTGGTGAGCCAGGGACAGTGCGGAATGGAGGTTGCACGGCTTTCCTAGCAAGCAGGAGAGGCAACCGTATTCTTCGGCCGTTGATTGCTTGGGGGCCCTGGGGCCTGGCAGCGCTAAAACGGCCCCTGTTCGTTTGTATGTTTGGCGCGCATGCCTGGCGACTCTGGCCGTTGAAGGTCGCTGTTGCATGACCCTCAACCGTCTTCTCTCTGTTTGAGCGGCTCCTTCCCTGCTTTTCTCTCACATTCTGTCTGTCGCCTGCCTTTTCGCGCCTGCCTTTTCTTTGTTGTCCGCATGACAAATGCATACCGCGAGCCGCCAATCCCGGAATGCATGAATGGGCACCTGCGGTTTTAAGCTTGTGGCCGCCTTCCCTTCGCACCTGTCGTTCTCGCATTGCTGTTTAGTCTACGTGTTTTCATTTTCTCCTCGTCACCCTTTTGTGTCTCTTGTTGTCTTTCGTGCCACACGACCATAACTCTCCGTAATACGAAAGGGATCCGGCCGCAACAACAACGTGTTCCCTTTAAGTCGGTCCCTATCTTTTTGTCTTGACCATGACCTCGAGCCCTGTCTGACCACGCCACGCTCAAAGCAAAGCCAAAGTAGCATCTCGGCCAGTTTCGTCAGACGGTTTCGACTTTCGGAATATCTGGCCCTGGCGTTTTGATGTTGGCGACGTGTCTGCACACTCCGGCTCGCTGACAAGACACCGAATCCTAAAGCACCTTGCATGGCGGGTGGCCCAGCGCTGACTCTTTCATACAGATATGACTAACTGCGGCCGGGTGTCCGTTTGGGCTCTTTCGTTCTTGTCACCATAAAACGCCCCCTTTTGACAGCTTTGGCTCTTTTTGATTGGTTGATCTGGTCCGTGTTTTGGTTTCCAGAGTACGACTTCAACATGCGCCGTATTACGATGACTTGCTTTCAGTGTCTGAGGCCCCTCCAGACCGAACCCAACTGCAAACAACTACAAACGGGACGGATGGACCGTGGCTCTCCCTGGTGGCTGATTCGCGTGGGGGTTGTTGTATTTCTCTGTTTATCTGCAAGCAGATATTGCCAATAGATTGCCGTGTCCTTTGGCTGCTCTGTTGGTTGCCGTGTGAGTCTGGTGATGGGGCGCCACAGCCTCAATTGCAGGTGCATCGACGATATTCCCCCGGACTGGTCATGTGGCCCTGGCTGTCTCCTACTGCTCCCGTTATTCTGGCTTTACGGAGTAATCCGAGATAAACCTGCTATCGCCTGCCGGTTCTTCCCTCTCCTGCCCGATCTGATACTTCGGATCTGTCTATACTGTATTTTCATTTTCATTTCGAACGCCGCCTCGGTGTCAATAAAAATAACTGCTTTCCATGATTGCTTTTGTTTTTCCCTGCTGCCTTATTTCTTCTTTCAGTCACCTTCGCACTGCTGTCCGAAATAGGCAAAGACTTACGTCGGGATGCCCACTGTCAGTGCAAAGTCGTGTCGAATTTAACCTTTTTGCTGGAGTCTGGCCTGGCCCGCCATCCCTGTTCTCTGTCTTTTCTTGTCTCCTGTCTCTTATCACCCTCCGCCTTGTCCAGTGCAGCACTCAATTTTCACTCGCTTCTCGCACTGTCGTTTCCGTCCAGACAACAGGCTGCTTCCCAAGCTGTCAATAAACAACAAAAAAAGAAACCAACAAAAAAAACATTTGTCGCGTCGTATCCCATCCCATCCTGCATGCACTCAGCACCCCTGCATTAGCCACTCGGCGTGCTGGCATCTGTTTGACAGAAACACAAAGAACTAAAAAGAGACCAACACAAGACGCAAAATGTCAATGGGCGTGCTCTTGCTTGTTTCGTATCCTGACAAAAAGAGAGGCTGAAAGAATGCAATGGAATCCCTGCAACCCGGATCACGCCCTGACTGGTCACCTTCATGGGCCATCGACGATGCCATCCATCGTGTCGTATCAAAGTGGCCCCAATACCGAAAACCGCATACAATCCAACCAGCAGGATTCTCAGGATATCTTGTTGTATCGAGCCGCCGAACCGAACGTTTTCTCAGCCTGTGTTGCCCTGCATCCAACCGTTGACCAGGGGTTGGTTCGGCAAAGAGTTCGGTGTGTATACTCCTGCGTATCACAGCACAGACATTGCAAAGTTCAGAGTTCGGTCACAGAGTGAAGATGAACGTTGCACCCATAAAAGTGACGACGTAATTCAGCATCCATAAAAAGAAAATGGATTCGGACAATCAATATCAGGACGCAAGGGGGAAAACGACAATCTTCGCGAGAAAAGGTCCGATCATCATATTGAACACCGAAACGGGACTGTGCAATTGCCGAAGAACGGCCAGGGCTTGTGTTGTCGCCAGAAAGGAAAACAACCAAATACATGGCAATTTACGGCCCAAATGACCAACGATATCCAACAGACAACGGCCTATGATACCCAAACAACACAGTGAGCGACAACCTGTGTGTCCAGACTTTCAGAGCCGTGACACATTGAGAACCTTTGTCGATGGTCTGCCTTCTACAAATCATCCGAGTCAATATGCCCATATCCGCCTATCATCCTCCATTTATCACCAGTCAATGTGTACGGAAAATGCAACGTCTGCCCACCCTCTCCTTTACATCCTGATGGACTCTGAGCAGCCCATTGACGGGTCCTGTTGTTTTGGGCGGCTGGTCAAGTACTGCACCAACTAAAAGTGGCTCCTCCGCCTTCTAAACTACTCTTTACATTTTTGTCCTGCTTCACGAGTTTCTCTATATTGGGCCGTTTCTGCACTATGCAATACGGTTTCATCATTGTCCGCTTATTTGGACCCCAGAAACTCTGTAAAGAAACTCGTAAAGAGTCCGCAGGTGCAGAAAGAAAATAACCACCAAGAAAACAGGAGGTGATTCGTTTGTGGGTATCCCGCGTTCAAAACGCCCTGTTTCCCCCCGTTTGCCAAATCAGACGCTAGGAAATCCGGCAGCCTGCGAACAGAGTCTCTTTCTCCGTAAAGTGCTTTTTAAAGTGGTGCCTGGATTGGCGGTGTCGCTAACACGGAGAGTTGATGCAAATCACTGCGAATCGCGGAAAAGAGGGACGTCTTGACGCATCCCGACGGGTCTTGATGGGTCTCAAGGTGGCTTGAAGTGGCTTTTGGGGTTGCGGGCTGCAGTAGCGAGAACTGGTTTGGAGGGTGTTTGCGGCGCGTTTTGACGCTTTTGTGGAGAGCTGGGCCGGATGCTGCCTTTTGACAGGTCGGCAGCGTTCAGGTGCAGCATCACACCCCTGTCGGCCAGAATCTGCATCATGCAAGGCAAACGCATTTTTCGAGCACAATGTCCGCCTTTTCGGATTCGGCGAGAAACAGAGAGGGCGGCTCGATACTATCAACAATCAACAAGGGTGGGCGTTGTGGAGACGAGTGTCACTTTTGATTTCGTGATGTCGATGTTAATGCTCCTGACGGCATCCATTTCGAGACAAGAGCTGCCATTAACTCTTCGTTTCGACTGCTGGCGCTCTTTTCTCGTAAATTCTTAAAGAGGAACAATACAGAGTACAACAATGCCATAAATAAACAAGAACCTCGTATCTGCTTCCTCGTGCCCAATAAGATGCCCGAAACAACAGCCAGAGGCATAGATTCAAAACTACCCGGAACAAACACGAAGAAGCGGCAGGGAGAGTGCCCCCAAACTCCCGTATCCCTCCAGTTTCCAGGCGTCCCGTCTGTTTCAAGTCCCAACAACGCACGCCTTGCCGCATCCTGGGATGCATGGAGGGCGCAAGTGAGGGAGCAGTACGACGTACTACTTACGAGGTAGCATTTGCTTTTATTTTAGCCTTCTCTTTATTCTTGCCTCGGTCCACGACTTTCCGTTTGTTTCTATCTTTTACCTTACCAGGGCGACAATGTTGTTTGTTGACACCCACGAGGCACCCATCAATCATCAATCACAACCCAGTTTCTTATATTTTTTTTTATTTTTATTTTTTTTATTTTTATTTTTTTTGAGTTCCATCGTCTCCACCCATGCCGAAAAGATGCAAAAGAGCCTCATTCTCTCTGGGGCCCTGGTCCAAAGACCCCATCCTTCTTTTCGGACTCCACATGCGTGCGTCCGCCTTTTTGCAACGTGTATTTTGTATTACTCCTATCTTGGACCGCCCGCTCGTATCGTTCGTGTCACTGCCCTTTCGTGATGTTGACACATTTGCACCTTGGCTCGCCGAAACAGAGATGCCTGCCCGAAAACAAGTCTGTCGGAGCCTGCCAAAGGCTGCACAGTTTTCTTGTCCGCCCGTCCATCGGCTCTCTGCTTCCTCTTGTTAGCGCCTGCGGCCAGGAACAAGGCCAAAAAGACGACGTGTGCAAGTTGAACGAAAAATGTCAAAAAGCCAAAACTGTGGTGCCTACTGAACTTGTCTTGTCTTGGCATCGCTGGGGGTTTTGTGTAACGCCGGTTTCGAGAGAGGCATCGCGAGAGAAACAAAGAGTTCGTGGGCAGAGAGTTTGGTAGTGTGAACTTGGTAGATTGCTGCAGCCGTAGTTGGTACATCGAAGTATATCATAATATTGTACACAATGAGCCCACAATATCATCACAGTGGGGGGGCAACCGGTTATTTTATGATGACTGCTCCGCCTGTGCTTGCCCCTGTGCCAGCTGGTCCGCAATTGCTTCCGTCACCTGTACCACTCCCGCAGCTTGCATATCCACTGCTGCCTCCCTCCGTTCCAGCCGGTCCGTCATCCCGGCAGCTGCCCGGATGTCCCCGAACATCCGCGTCAAGGAGTGTGGCTTAGGCACCATGCCCGAGTTAAGCTGCTGAAGGTCGTAGCGGGCACGTGGTGGGCCGTAGACGTTGCCATTCTGGCGCGCCCAGCGCCAGCGGCTGCCGGAGCCCAAGGGCCGTGTGTGGGGGCGCACCATTCGGACACCGCCAGGTGGGTCGTCTGTGGTCGGGCCTGTAGCCGCTGCCACGGCCAGTGGCCGTGCTGGCGGCGGCTGTAAGACTGCGGGTCGCACCAGAGTGCAGGGTCCCAGGTCCGGCATGTGCAGATAGCCGAACTTGGGCCGTCCCGGCACATTGTAGTGCACGAGGGCGTAGCCGTCCATAATGTCGTCGAGCTTGAAGCGGCGTACGGGCGACGGACGAAGGTTGACCAATCGCGCATCCAGGCCCTTTATTGCTTGGGACTTGGCGGAGTCGCGCAGGTCAGGGTCAGTCAGGTAGCGCAGCACCGGCTCAAAAGAGCTTGGTATGAATTGCGGGTAGCACAAGGAGAGGTATTCAGGCCGCGCAGTGTCGATAAACTTTAAAAACTCTGCACCGTCGAGGCGGATGCCATGCAAGCTGAGTGCATGCAGCCGAGGCAATGGCCGTGTGTTCTTGCCGTCTGGGCCATCTCCGTCACCTGGCCCGTTTGGGCCGTCGGGAGCCGATGATGTGGATTTTTGCAGTGGTGGTGGTGATGACGAAGATGCCAGCTCTTTCTCTGTAGGTATGATCATGTTGCGTCCTATGTGGTACCAGTCCACGCTCACAGCTTCGAGTGCTGGCATGACGCGCGCCAGTTCGGAAGGCGCCGTGATGGTCTCAAGCACGCGGCGAGCAGCAGCCCATTCGGCGTGCAGCTGTGCACGGTGCGCCGCTTCAAATTGGGCCTGCAGTTGCGAGATAATGAGGTTCTCGTTGAACTCGTCAGTGGCGACCTCGCGCTCCTCTCGGGCAACTTCGGCGGCATTCACATTGCGCTCTTCGGCGGCGGAGCGGTGCCGCAGAGACAGGTGAACTTTGAGGCGTTTGAGAAATGAAAAGATAGGCATGGGGACGGCGGCTGGGTCGCGTGTGAGTGACAGAAACGCATCAAACGGTAGCGCAACACCGACAGTGCTGTGGAAGATATCAAGCTCGTCGGCCACGGGAAGTTGTGCCGTCGTCAGAGCATGCATGGCCACGCCGAACGTGCGCTCGGCGGCGTCCCAGACAGAACGCCATGACGGGCGGTACGGCAGCTCGTACGGAGCCACATAGTCGCCGTCGCCGTCGTTGTCTCCATCGCCATCACCGCCGGGGCCGCTGTCGCTGCCACGACCACCTCCACCTCCTATTCCGGCGTCGACTTCCTCTGGAAACGTTCCTGCTCCTCGCTTGTGCCGCGGCACAATATAAATGGCCCGCGGCTTCGTGCTGGGCCCGATTGTCAGCGTCAAAGAGGCCAGGCCACCAAGCCGTCCATATTTGCGGATGTTCGACAGGGCAGCCGTCAACAGTCGCTTGTGGTCGTCCGAGTCCTCTTCGGGCACATTTCGCAGCAGTGTGTCCTGGTCCTGCTCTGGGTCCTCATCCGGATGGCTCGGTGGCGGCAGGTCGCCGTATTTGCTCATGTACACGGCCGTCTTGTTGCGGGCGATGCCCTTGAGCGTCAGGTGCTGCAGTTGGTGGCCGACTGGACAATCTGGCTCCGTCGTGGCCACCAGTGTCTCGAGATCCCGCACCGTCAGCTCGACAGTCTTGCGGGCCACATATGGCCGCAGGCCCGGACTCTGAGCGACGCGGGCGGCCAGTGTGCGGCAGGTCAGGCGCAGGGCGCTGATGTCGGACACGAAGACGAGCTCGTCGACGACGAGGTCAAGGAGCTCCGGATGCAGCCGCTCGAGCGCTGAGGCGGCTGCGACAGCCATGTTTGATACGAGCGGCATACGCTCTTTGCTAGTGGTGGAGAAACTGGCAGAAGAAACAGTGCGAAATGTGCACAGGTCGTTCTTTGCCTTCCTCGCTCAAGGGGAACGTCGATGTTCGTCAGCATGCACCAATTGGTCACAATTGGCTAGGCGCAGTAGGTGCCCAGCTTGGGTGGTTCCTTCCCCTGTAAGTGAGATTAGTCATCGTAGTCAACTTCACTACAAACAATGGCTGAGGACGTACGACAATATTTCAGAAGCAAGCATTGAGTGCGTTTGTGCTTGTTGATTGGGCTGCGGCGGCTGAATTGGACTGAAGTGACTCTGTATCAATTACAATTTGATGACGAGTTTACAACGATTGGTTATTACTGCTAGACATGGTTGTTACAGCTGTTTTGGCTTTGATGGTTTTTTATTATCATTTTTTATGTAATTATTATTTTGCCAAAATCCGGCCAAGAAAGTACCGAAAATGGGAAAGAAAATGAGAAAAAAGACAAACGAGACGGGTATGCAAAAGGATGAGAACAACAAAAAGAAGATGGAATAAACGAGCGGCACAGGACATACCTGTGATGAGAACGTTGCGAGCACTAGAAAGAGGTCTTTTCAACATCACGTTAGCTGAGACTTAAAATAGGCCACCTTCGTTGTAATAGGCGCCCGTGGAGTTGCTGGTGTAGGAAGGCTGGTAGCAAGGACTCACAAAGTGGTTGGTGCGCGGACCATAGCCGCCGATGTCAAACGCAAACTGCGCCTCTGCAGCGCGCGCCGCAAAACTGCGCGACGATGACGATGCCGCCGTAGACGGGTTCCGCGAGGGACCCCGCGTGCTGACCTGTGGCACGTTCCGAGAGACGCCGAGAGATGCGGCCGACGAGAAGCCTCGATCCAGCACTCGCTGAACCTCCGGAGGGAACGCTGCGTCTAGAGGCGAAACTTCGTAGGCGTCGCGCTCGGGTTCGTACTGGGTTTCGCGCTTGGAGTGGTGCTTATGAGAAGGCCGGTGGGACGACGACGCCTGGGAACGGGACGAAGAGGTGTGGCTAGAAGGAGGATAAGACGTGTTAGAGGAAGAGTAGCAGCTAGAAGACGACGAGTGGTAACCGGAAGACGCGTATGAGGACGAGCCCGTGGATATCCGAGGACGGTGACCAGAGGAGCGCGACAAAGGTACTGGAGGGAGAGGACCATATACATACGCAGGAGTGGGTGCAGGAGCATGGTAATCAACATAAGTAGGAGTATGAACAGGGACATGGGAAACGGGGACGGTTCGGGTAGCCGCAATTGGAACACCGAAGCCGCCTGATACGCTGCTCAAGTCGACCGGATAAGCCTCATTGCCAGCCAAAAGCGGATCCGGCTGATGAGGACCCCGGGGCGAAACTCTGGGCCTGTGGGACGAGGAAGAGGGCATCGGAATATGAACAGGGGGAATACCACTGGCCATATCCGTGGGCTGCACTTGACGGTAACCAGTACCGGGGCGGACCCACGGAGTATTCTGAATGCGACCAGCGCAATGGCCAGACGACGAGTGGTCGGACTTAATCGCCCCCCTGCGGCCCAACTTGGACGACGCCGAGGTGTGAGGACGGCTGGCGGACGACGACGAGGGAACGCAATCGGTGGGCATGCGGGAGCTTGACGGACGCTTGGGGCCCTTGGACGAACGAAAGAGATCGCCGAAACCCATGGCGGCGGTGTTGGCAGGACCGTACCTGTTCCTGTTAGTATCTTGCGTGTTGGGTACGGGTTGGAGGAAGCTGATAAGGACGTTGCTGGGATTGCTGAAGAGGACGATCCTGGGACCGAGGTGGATAGCGAACTCGGGCGCGGGCGCGGGCGCGGGCTTGGGCCTTCTTTGCACGCGTGCAGTCTGGACAGGCGCTCCAGTATGTAGATGTCTTCTGACTGATTTTGCTCTTGCGGCAGCAGTACTGCGTGGCAATCTTGGGCGGGTCGACTGTGGTATAGACGAACTCTGTAGCGGGGCGGAGAAGTGGGCGCGGTATGGGATCGCTTTCTGCAGACGACGAGCAAAAGCAACTCCAGAAGCTGGGGTTGGCGGGCTTTTCAGAATAAGCTTGGGCAAGCTGCCGCTCCTGGCGGCGTCGATACTGGTTGTACTGCTGGAGGCGCTTTGTTTGCTTGGCGGGGCAGAGTGAAAGGATGCGGTTGTGGTGACTGCATTCTCGATATAGATTGCAAGTGATTTCGCACATCTTTATATATAGAAAGGACCGGATGGTTGAAAGGAGGTATTTGTGCTGGTGAATAGCTTATTGTGCTTGTTTCGGGTCAGATATGTGGTTCAGAAGAATTGGTGAATGACTTTTTATTTAGAAGGTGATGTTGTTCAAGAGATATTTTCATTTTACGGTGAACAGAGCGGCAGGAGGTTTAAATATATTGTATGTTGTCCTTGGGCGACGGCGAGAAACGGGAAACCATCAAAGGCAGAGATATGTCCATGAAAGAGAGCCAAATGTCAGGAACCGAATTTATATGCAGGATTTCAACAATGCGCTTGTTGAAAGGAGCATAAACTGAAAAAAATGGATAAAAGAAAACTTGCGGAAGATGAGCAAGAGAGTAGGACTGAGAATCCATCCAAAAGGTAAACAAAACAAAACAACCGCGTTAAGTTCTTTGTTCGCGATACTGGCGTCAGTTGGTCCACAGCCACAACTTTCAGAAACCATTGTTCACCACATTGTTCTTTCACGTTTCAACTGCTTTGTCCGTCCCGTGAAATGCACATGCATCCTGTTCACGACCCCATTTTTTATTGAAGCAAGAGATGCAGCAAACTAGCTTTGTTCGTCTGGACAATGAACAACACTAACAGGTCCTGAACAGCTCTGATCGGCTTTTTGGCGAAGACTACAACGGTATCGTCCGCCAATGTAAAACTGGCTTCTACATCATCGTTCTTCTCCTTCTTTTTATACCTCAACCATCTCGCTCTTTTTATTTTGTTTTGTTGGAACTACCAAGAGGCTCGCATTCGACAGAAAGTTCTGTCCATTCCACCAGTTCTGCCTGTTGATTGCCCTGCTCATCATCGCTTCTCCTTGACCCCTTTCTTTTGTTTCGTTTTGATTTCTGTTTTCTTTTCTCCTCTTTTCTTTTTCATTCGTTGTTGGTCGGTCTGTCTCCGTGTTTCCCTAGTCTTTGGGTGGTCTGATCCATTCTTGTCGTTACCGATATCTTTTTGCTTTCTCGCGTTTCTTATATTTGGCACGGCATTTCTATTGCAGCTGCTTTCTCTCGTTTCTCTTTCTTTCTTTCTTTTTATTTTATTCCGTGTCTCTTTTCTCTACCTGTTTCCCCCCACCCCCCACTTCAGATATCACCGCGCTGGCACGGTGATATCTGAGTGGTCCATCACTTCTTCCCAGATGTCAGTCTTTTCCTTCCTCCACCGTCTCGTGTGCAGAAAATGCAAAAACACGACCGGCTCTCATCGTGTTAAGCGGCGTCTAAAGCGACTACCGCGGCTAGAGCAGGAACAGGACGAGTGGAGGCCATCGTGGATGCATGAGACTTGCGACTTGGAGTTCTCCAACGAGAACGACGGAATTGATGACGGCTCCTTGGTTGTCGAGCTTGACGCCCGCCCTCCTTCGTCCTCCGGTTCCCTTTCTTCTATCTCGTCAGTCTCTTCCCTCTCCCCGTTCCCTCCTTCCTTCCCTGACTTCGCGGTCTCAGATCCTCCTACCCTGCCTGTCGTTCCTGCCTCTCCGCCAGTTCTTGGCATCGGTATACAGACACGAACGGCAGGCACGACCAACCGCTACTCATTGTCACGGTCGTCTTCGTCGCCGACCCTCACCGTCTCGTCGTCGCGATCCTCTCTTACGAGAATGCCAGCCGTCCATAACCTTCGCTTGCGCAGCAGCAGTTCCTCCGTCTCCGGTGCCGAGTCTTCCCCGCCGCAACTGAGGCTGTCTTGGGAACACGCGCCACCTTCGCCGTTGATCTCCGAGCCGAAGTACTGCCGCAGTCCGAAATTTGTACCTACGGTATTTGTTGACGTGAAGCCGCTTACGGTTCTCTCGAAGGAACGGCGTTACCCGCTTCTCACTCTTGACGCTGATTCCGACGAGACTGAGAGTAATGATGAATCCAGTGAGTTTCCGTCACGTCCCTCTCCATCTGCCTCATCCTCTCCCGCTTCTTCGTTTTCCCTACGCTCTCCAGTCTCTCCAACCTCTTCTGTCTGGTCGCCGGTCACCGAACGCCCTCTACCTCATCTCCTCGGCGACTTCCAACCGGTGAAGCCCACGCCGCGTGTTGGCGTCAACTTTACACGAAACAACAGGATCTCTCCGTTGGCTGCCCGGCGCGACTCTGGTGGTAACTTTGGTAACAGAAATTGTACCAACGCCGCTAACACCAACGTCTCTAGCGGTCCCCGATACATTCCCGCCTCGAAGACTGTGGTGACGCCCCGGCTTCGTCCTTCGGTTCAACGGTCACCGCTGCAACAGACTTTGCCGGTCCTCCGCGTCACCGCACCGTTTGACGAGAGCCTGGGCACGTCATATCGGCCTCCACAGAAGCTCATCCACCGCAAGTCCGTCCTTGCCTCCTCTTCAGTGAGCGAGACACCAACGGCACCGATCAAGGCGGAACTGTCCAACGGGACCATCCGTCCTTATGACCAGACGCACTCAAGACGTCATGCACAGCAGGTGATGTCACTGACACTTTTGTCATCGTCTTCGTCCCACCCCTTGTCGCCCGATAGCGTCGCTCCCCACATGCTTCGCTTGATCCCATACAACTCGCGGCAAGGCTACAGCATGCTACAGACGCTTCGTCGCCTGCTCGTTGTCCCTGTCGACTGGTCGGCAGCACAGACTCTTCTGTTTGTCCTGCAGCGCCCGGCTGTCCGCCGTTTGGCTCTGCCGTTCCACTTGTCGTCATCACCGTCGCCGACCGACTGGAAGCACTTCCAAGATCTGCTCGGCGTCGCCCGCTGCAACTCGCTTGGCTGGTACGGCATCATGCAAACCATAGAAGGACCCATGCGGTACCATACGGCCCGCGAGCACAGCCACCAGAGCTTGCGCACGAACTTTCACGACGTCCCCTCCGCTCTCGCCCCCTGCTCCAACCCGCGTGCGCTCTCCGGCAACACCCGTTTCTCCGTCGCCGAGTGTGACCTCGTCGCCCGCTGGCTGGCCAGTGGCGAGCCGTTGTTTACACGTCAGACGACGCTGCCGATGGTGCTAATGCGCAAGAGCAGGCAGCCGCTGCTGCGGAGCTCTCCGAGCCGGATGCGTCTTCAGCGTCTCCAGCAGCAGGCACGCGGTCGCACGCCGCTGTCACCGCTTACGTCGTCCTCTGTCCACACCAGGGACCTCAAGGAACACAACGACCCGGCCATCCGCTACGACATTGCTCGTAATCCGCGCTGCCGGCATCATCAACTGTGGACGGGTGCAGGTAAGAGTCGACTGTCCGTCGCATGCTTGGCCGAGTATTAATTTGAGACAACCAACAGGTGAGAGATGCTGGAAAGAGAGGAAGTTGCGGGTGACAACCTACTTACACTTTTATGCGGCACGTTGAGTGGCACAAGATTGAAACTGAAGCAAAAAAGCAGTGTCTTCTCGAAGAATGTATGCCGTGCCTCCTTTCTGGTAAAGGATGACGTCAAAACGGCAAAGAGAACACCGTCACCTTACTTGGATTGTTTTGAATCATTAAACTTATTTTTTCTACTTTCCGACGTCTAAAATATATTGCCAAAAAATAACGAGAACAAAAGAAACAAAAGGCTGTGCGTGATTGTGCAGTGAGGTGAGAAATCCTGGCTCCAGCCAAAGCATCCCGACAAGGCTGAAATACAGGTGTGTCTGGGTGTCAGGGAAGCGAATCCAAGATATATAACACTGCTGTGCTTTTTGAGTTCTTCTCCGGTATAATCCAAACAAAAAGGAATACGGACCGAACCGACATGTACACACAAACCATAAATAAGTATACAGTATTTTCCCTACTCCTTTTCCTTTTCCTTTTCGTAAAATTGCTCCGTCGAGATCAAAAACACATTTCGACCACATTTTTTTGTTGTGATAAAGGTAATGTTAAAAGCGCATCACAGCCCGCTTTCCAATACGCGCAAAGCGTTAACAAACTGGACGGGAGGGACGGGAGATGGGGGTTGCTGGAAGCCTTGGAATATGTGGCCCTATGTGTCACTGGGGCAGACAGTGGCCGATTGTCAGCGATGTGCTTATTTGGCAAAGTGAAGATCGTAGCCGAGCCACTTGCGCTTCAGCACCTGGTCGACCGTCAGGCCGGGGTAGCCGTAGGTCAGCGGCAGGAAGAAGTACCAGCTCGCGGCCACAACAGCCAGGATGACAAAGCAGGCAATCCACGCGCCGATCAGGCTCTGGCCGCGGAACCGCTCCCCAGCCAGAACATGGCGCTTGGGGCTCGGCGCGGCCTTCTTGCCCGACTTGACCTGCTGGTATGTCGGCTGCTCCGGTTCGCCGGCATCCGACGTGAAGATGAATTCGATCAAGGCACCGGCTACGAGAGTCGACGCCAAGTGGGCAGGCAGATAGTGGTGCAGGAACAGCTGACGACCCATGACGTAGAATGGGAAGTAGTGCGTGGCCCAGACGAGGAAGAAGAAGCCGGTCGAGTTGTACAGGCGCGAGCGGGTGCGGTGGTCGAGCGCGTCCATGCCGCGGCGCAGCGAGAACTGGTCGGCAGCGAGGATGCCAGCAAAGACGGCAAGCAAGCTGCTGGCGATCCACCAGCCGATGGGGTTGCCGAGGAAATAGATCTGCTGGCGCGTGTCGTTCTGGGTCCAGAAGCTGACACCGCGGAGCAAGAACGGCCACTGGTAAGGCAGCGACGCGTACGGATGGCTGCTCGTGAGCTGGTTGTTGTGCCAGAACATGGACCGCTGCAGCTCAAACCACTTCTGCAGGAACGGCAGTGTCTTGATGCTACGCTCCACTTTGGCGCGGCGTACGTCATCGGCCGGCAGCGAGGGGATGTCCTCGACAAGCCATATGTTGGAGCTGGGGGTGATCTGCTTGTTGCCGTTGATTTCCTGCTGCTTGTGACCCCAGTCGGGCAGCGGCGTGGTGTGGGTCCACATCGCCACTTTGCTGGGGTTGTGGATGAACTTGAAGTGGCTTGACACGCTCTTGAACTCCTGGCCGGGCTTGCCGTTCTCAATACGGACCTCGAAGAGCGTGTCGGCGGCTCTGTCACCGTACGCGTCCTCAAGCGAGGCGGTGGTGAACTCCTGGTTGGTCGGGTAGTAGGGCGAGGCGACGTCGTGAGACAGAAGGATGGTGTCGGTGACGAGGTGGCGGAGGCGGACGAGGTCGTGGTTCTGGACAGCGCGGCGGGTGTTCTCGTCGCCGTCGGCAGGAAGGATCTGCCAGTGGTTGTTGGTGTCATTGTACGGGTAGCCGGTGACCTGCTGGCCCTGGCTGGAAACACGACCGTCATCGTAGCGCAAGGGGTACTTGTCGGGGTGGCTGTGCAGGTAGGCCTTGGTCTCTTTGTGCATGATACTCAGGGTATCGTAGTAGTTGATTGTGATGGCGTTTGCCAGCATGACGTTGTCGCTCAGCGTCTCCTGGAACTCGGGAGACATGAAGTCGTCGCCGGGGCCGGAGCGGTTAAGGACAGCAAAGTGGACTTGGAACCAGAAGAGGTAGAAGAGGAAGGGCATGAGGATAAGGCCAAAGGCGCGGGCGGCAAAGTGACGCGCAAAGTCGGGCAGGGACAGAGCACCGCCGGGTCTCTTGATGTCGAGCAGGTCCCAGAGGTCGATGCAAACGGCGGAGCCGATGGACACAAAGGCGAATAGACCAATGTACTTGGTCGACATGTCGCAGGAGAGGGCGAACCCGGTGAAGATGAGCCACTTCCACCACTTGCGCGAGAAGGGCTCGTGGCGCAACTTGTAGAAACGGATGTAGCAGAGAATGCTGCAGGCCATGGCAAAGACGAGCGTGGCGTCGAGCAGGATCAGGCGGGTCTGGCCAATGTGGGCGTTGTCAAGCAGAACGAGACCGGCCGCGAGGATACAGGCAGGCAGGCTGTAGCCAGACTCCCACATGATCAGGTAGGTGACGGTGACGGTCAGCGAGCCCAGGAGGGCAGGCAGCGCGCGGAAGGCCAAGTAGGGGACCTTGTTGTTAATGTAGGAGTCACCGATGTTGTCAAAGTGGAAGTGGCCATCGTAGCCGACGAGCCAACCGACGAAAGCGAAGAGGAGCTTGCCAAAGGGAGGGTGGACATCGAAGAAATACGTGCGTTGGATGTAGTACGACGCGAACTATTGGAGATTCGAATGTTAGCTGAGCAGCGTATGAGGTAGGACGAGAGAAGCTCAGAAGCTCAGAAGCTCAGAAGCTCAGAAGCTCAGAAGCTCAGAAGCTCACCTTGCCGAAATGGACCTCATCAAAGACGACTTCGTCCGGGTGGCTGATGCCCCAGAAACGTGTCAAGAAAGCCAGTGCGGTGATGAGGAAACCGGCGACCTGATACTCGCGCTGGGCATCCTGCTTGACCGATCCAGTCTTCTCCTTGATGATGGTGTCGAGATCCGAGTCGGAGGACGCGGCATCCTTCTTCTTGCCGCTGCCGGCGACATTGCGCTGGCGCAGGGTACCCTGTGGCGTGGACGAGGTGGCCATGCTGGGCAACGGAGGCTTGCCAGCAATCGGCTGATGGACTTCCTGGACAAGGGGGTGATGGTTCGATGAAAAAGGAGGGAAAAAACGAAAGGACAAAAAGGTAATGGTCGTAAAGGAGAGACGAAGAAGGCGAAAAATAATAGATAGAAAAAACACGAGAAGAAAAGAAAGGGAGAGCAGCCGCGGAAACAAGCAAAGCGGCAAAGACGGTGATGAGGAAAATAGAAGCGGAAGTTCGAAGCCGATGCGAGCAGGACACCTAGCTCGTGATAAAACAGAGGCCAAGACAAGAAAACCAAGGAGTGTGGAGCAGTCAATGGAGCATCGTCACGCCTGAAAAAGGATGGAGCGGGTGACAAAAGGGGGACGCGGCACGGAACTGCGCAGAGGACAGCTTGTGGGCGCGTTCCCATCGGCCAGTTTAGGGGGCTCCTTCCGCTGATATTATTGGTTGTCCTCGGACAGAGAGGCTTAGTAGGGCGCAATATGGGCTTGTGGCTAACACGAATGTGGCCGCACAGCGAGTCGATTGGGTGTTGTGGCGCGATGGGCCATGGGAACAGGGGATGAAGAAGCTACGTGTACGGAGTAATCCACTGTAATTACGTTGAAGCTACGGGGGCAATCAGGGGTAACCCTTGGGAGCAAGGGAGAAGACGCGAATGGCTGGCACAAGAGGCAGGAACGAGGAACAGCCAATTTTGCGGAGGTAATCGGCCTTTTGATTCTAGTGCGGCTTTACAACGTAACTTAAAAGACGACCCAGACAGCTACTGTAGATGCGAAGCAATGTGCTGTATTCGTCACTGGTTCATGGGTTGGGGATTGAGGTTGGACAGGATGGCGTGCGTAGAGCTGCATCAATAATTGCCGTTCGTTCCATGTCTGTGCCTTGGAACCACGAAAACCGGGTGAGGTAGTTGCCAAGACAGCAAGAGTGGTGGTGTACAATGCGGATACCGCGTTTCTGTCGCCCGTTGTCTTATTGCTGAGAAGGACACTTGGCTTTCCGACAGTCAGAACACAAAGAGTTTGGTACAAGCTCCTGGCGATAACGATAAGAAAGGTACAAAGGTACAAGACAGAAGAGGGACCTGAGGGGCAAACCGCACATTGCCATATTCGGAGATATCGACCAAGCCATGGAAGGTGTAACCGGCAAGCTCTTAAGTAGGTTGAACAGCCATTGATGCCAATGCTCATAAGATAAATTGGCAAGTCCGTTTGCTACGGTCGAAATAGAGTTGAGGGCGTGAAGAAATACACACTCCGCAGTCCAGGATATCTCACGTCTCAGTGGTTGTGCGGTGTACTGGAGCAGCCGCAAAAGCAGGCGCGGAGCGTCTCGATGACTAAACTTTCTCAATTCTACACATCCTTCGCGATTTCACTTTCTACAGCGGGTTAGTGTTGAATCAAACGAGCAGTTTCGTCTCACAACCGGCCGGGGCAGGCGCAGGCGTGATCCACGGCCGAAGGAATCCGATGTGCGGAGGGCGTGCTTGTGCATGCTTGGAGGCAGACTGGGGCCCCGCCAACGAGAAAGCGCCAAAACGGGCAAGAGAGCTCAAAGAGGAAAAAAAGAAAAAAGAGGGTAGGCGCGGCACAACACCCCATTCGAACTAAATACAAGAGCACCACTGCCCACTCGATCTTACCACATCTATTTTCTCCTCTCCTTTTGCTTTTCTTCTTTGAACTACTCTTTAACCAATGTTCAAGCAGGCCACCACACGTCTCGTTCCAGCTCTTTCTCGACCCCTCTCGTACTCACCCACGTTCTTCGTTCGCCGGCCGATCCCGCACCCGTCTTACCGACCATTTTCCTGTTCATCGACCAAAATGTCTCAGCAGGTTGTCTTCACCGAGGACGCCGCTTTTCGTGAGTGGCCCTGTCCTTGATTACGAGCATGATTCTGTGCACACCTCATTTCTCACCTGCTAACGTCTCCAGCTGCCGGCCCCTACGTAGGTTCTTTCGACAGCCGCTCCGGTGAACTGACCAGAGCATGACCCCAAGACACTGACACCATTCTCCGCCCCCACAGTCCCAGGCCATTAAGACGCCCTTTGCCATCTTCTGCTCGGGCCAGATCCCCGCGGACAAGACTGGCGCGCTCATTGAGGGCACAATCCAGGACAAGACGGCGCAGTGCATCAAGAACCTCGAGGCGGTGCTGAAGTCGGCCGACTCATCGCTGGCCAAAGTCGTCAAAGTCAACATTTTCCTGTCCGACATGAGCTTCTTTGCGGTAAGAATAACATGCCGCTGCGTCTTTGTGCATACCGTATACGTTCCTAACGACTGCTAACACTCACGGCAGGACATGAACGGCGAGTACGCCAAGTGGTTCACGCACAAGCCGGCGCGCAGCTGCGTTGCTGTCAAGACGCTGCCCAAGAACGTTGACGTTGAGATTGAGTGCGTTGCGCTGCCGTAGAGGGGTCTTTGCAAGCAATTGGCTGAAAAGAGTTTTACAAATATTTCCTAACGGAAAGTAGAAGGCAGAAAACCAAAAAAACTCATACAATAGAAAACAACTAAAAACACGAAAAGGTTCCCGTGACAGACAATATGGCTTCACTTTTGGTGTGCGCTGTGGGGTGACCAAACCCCGCGGTGACATCACTGAAGAGACCGCCTAAGCCCGCTAAATTATTTACGCACCCAGCACAGTGGTAGCGTCAGTGATCATCGCGAATGGAAGCACACCCCGGTAACTTGGGGCTGTGCTGCGACTTGGAAATACGGCGTATTCCCAGAATAGCGCTCGCTTTCGCTTACTTTGTCCGACTGAGACGCGGCGGCGCGCGTCCGGAAACCTGCAGCCTTCTGCAATCCTTGCTTATATGTCCCTTTGTTCGACCATTTTCCTTTTTTTTTTTCCTTTTTTTTCTCCCTTCAATCGTTCTTATTGCGTCTTCTGCATTATACATTATCTCGTAATTTGGACTCTCTTCACATCCATTCCCACCGCAATCGTTGCATATCGTCAACCATGTCGTCTCGTCAGCCGGCCTCTGTGCCAAAACAGTCGGGCCTTTATCATGTCAGTCAGCAGACAGCATCGCGGGGGGAAGGGGTAGGCAATTGGAACTCGCAATGCGTGACAGCTGCTAACCAGGCGCATTGCAGGCCGTCATGACACCCATCGTTTTTGTCTCCTTTATCGTCTCCCTCGCCTGGGTCGAATTTCGCTACTCAATGCTGCGCAGCCACGAACACGACGGCCCAGCTTCGAATCCGAACATGAGTAGCAACAAAAACAGTAACACCGCGGTCCGCAATGGGGACGCCTGCAATCAGAACAACGTATTTATGCCTGGATGGCTGCACTCGCTCGTCTACTGCCGCCAGCCCTACCACTATGTCCTCGTCAAGGGCGACGGGGACGGCCAACCCGCTGTCAACCGACCTTACACGATGGCCAAGACCACCCGAGCTGCGCAGTCGGCCAGCAACGACGGCTCCTACTACCACAGTATGCAGCGCAAGCTCCTTAAGATGGAGTCGGCCGAGGCCTTCCGCATCCGCACAACGGTGCTGTGGGTAATGGGGCTGGCAGTAGCTGGCATTGCGTACTTGGCCATGACAGGCCTGCGATGGCTCGTTGGATTTGTGTGGAGGTGAGGAAGGGACGACGAAGATAGAACCCAGACAGGCAAGCTTGTTATATGGTACCTTTGATCTTTTTGCAATAATTCTTGATGTCCAACCCAAGCTAACGAACAATTTATTGGAGGAAGCTTGTGAAGGTCCCAGCCCAGTCGGACGTGATGGCATGTGTTGATTGGCACTTCTGGGACGTGGTGAAAACTAGGTGTTGTTATGGCCGGAATGTTGTCGTATTTCATTGCTGCCTGTCGTCGAGAAGGCTGAAGCTCGATATGCACTTATTATGACAGTCCTGGAAAGCGAAGAGCTGCGTCTACCTGTACGCGGCTATATAGTGGGTCTGCAAAGACCTTCGCTGTGCCTTCTCTGTGCCATCTCAGGTGTATTTTTTCGGTGGTGAAAGGCCATGCCTGCCCACAAGCAAACGTCACTAGTGAAAAGGCAGCCAATACTTCTCAGGGCATTTTCTCCGTCTACGATTGTTGGGCCTCTCACTGTACATGCAGATATGTAACTACGGTGCAATATGAACTTATTGAGTAATTATCTTACGGCGTAGACTCGGAGACATTCCGTTGACGTCGACCTCCACATTGTTAGCTGACGCTGATGGCAAGTTAAAGTCCTTTGCCATGTGCGATGCTCGGTAGAACGAGGACATCCCTGCCGACGACCGTTGGGACCACAGATCGACGGTATAAAATCAAGTTGGCCGTTCAGTGCCAACTCAGCGCTACTGAGGATGTTGGTCTGCCGCTTCACGACAGGTCATTTTTGCTTTCAGTCGTTGTGCCAGTGCGGGAGCATCGGTTAGAGTGGCTCGTAGGTGATGGCGTAGCAACCGACCCGTTACGGAGTGCGACGTATGTCGTAATTGCCTGTGATTCCATCATTCAACGTCGGCCTTCGGTGCGGGTTTTGTGAGGCGACCTGAACTCCGACTACCCAGCTGGACGGGCGTTGAGCCCATCCGCTGCTTTGAATCTCGAATTTTCTTTCACACGATTTCCTGTATAAATACACTTCTTTTGGGTTGCCTCGATAAAGTTTGTTCATGTGTCGTGCGCGACTGTTGTCTGACTGGACGTGTCGCTATCTAGCCGCGCTCCAGCTTCTGCCTGGTCGGGCAGTTGGGACTCTCCGCCCCGGTTGCAGCGCTGCTCCAAAAGCTGTTCCAAACGGCTGCGTTCCGTGTTGTGGCCCTGAGTTCAGCCGTCTCCTCCGCTCCTGCCCCGTTTCGGCGACTATTTTCAGCACGTAGCTCTTGCTCTATACAAAAAGGTGCTCTTTCCCTTTTCTTTTATTTCCTCGACCGTCGCTTCCCCGGATTCTGCACGCTCTGTGCATACGACCGGCACATCTACCGATCGAAGATAGATTGTCATCTTGTGACTCTTTTCGCAACCATGTCGCTCCCGAACCGTCCTGTCATTTTGATCTCACTCGCCACCGCCTATGGCGCCACAGCCTGGTCTCGGCGCGCCGGAGCCTCGACTCTGAACGCTGGCGACGCCCCCGGCCCGTCTGCTCTGACTTCCGCGTGCTTTTTTGCCGGGACCTTCGTCTGCGCCTATTTGTTTCAAGCGATCGCCTTTGGCATCTGGTCCATCTTCCTTTACCCCTTTTATTTCTCGCCGTTGCGGCACTTGCCACAGCCAAAGTCCGGCAACATCTTTCTCCTTGGCCAGTTCCCGCGTATCCAACGGGAGGCCACGGGCAAGCCAGCGCTTGACTGGTGCGTGTTTTCTCCCTCTCGCTCTCATCTATCGTTTGCTTCTTTTGTTTCTTCTCATCCTCCTGTCCCTTGCTGACTCTCCCCAGGATCAACTCCATTCCCAACGATGGTCTTATCCGCTACCTCGGCCTCTTTAACCAGGAACGCTTGATCATCACCAAACCCAAGGCACTTGCTGAGGTTCTCGTGTCCAAAAACTACGACTTTATCAAGCCTACTGTTGTGCGCCATGCTCTGTCACGCATCCTGGGCGTCGGCGTCTTGCTGGCCGAGGGCGACGAACACCGCTTCCAGCGCAAGCTGCTCGCTCCAGCCTTTGCCTTCCGCCACGTCAAGGACCTATATCCCATTTTTTGGAGCAAGGGCCGCGAGAGCGTTGTTGCTATGCGCCGCCACATTAACGCCCAGCGCAATGCCGCGCCCGCGAATGCGCCCGTTGAAGACAGCACTCGCCTCGAAATCAACAGCTGGGCTTCACGTGTCACCCTCGACATTATCGGCACTGCCGGCCTGGGCCGCGACTTTCGCGCCCTCGATGACCCCAACAACAAGCTGACCTCCACGTACCGCTCCATGCTCAATCCCACTGGCGCCGCGCGCTACTTGGCCATCCTGGGCCTCATTTTCCCGCGCTGGCTCGTCACGGCCCTGCCCTTCCGCCGCAACACTGACATTGTCGACGCCAGCCGCTTTCTGCGCCAGACCTGCGCCGATTTGGTTCAGGAGAAAAAGGCCAAGATGCAGGCCAGCAAGGGCGCCGAGGCCGACTCCAATGCTCCGCGTGCCACCGATGTCGACATTCTGTCGGTAGCTCTCGAGTCCGGCGGCTTTTCCGACGAAAAGCTGGCCGACCAGCTCATGACGTTTTTGGCCGCTGGCCATGAAACCACATCGTCCGCCATGACCTGGGCCGTTTATCTGCTGTGCGCCTACCCGGAAGTGCAGGACCGTCTTCGCGCCGAGATTCGCTCCAGCCTGCCCGGCCTCGGCGACGACCTCGAACTGGATCCCAGCCTGAACGATGTAGCAAGTACCACTCCCCGCCGCGACATTGCCTCTACGGACTTGGACCACTTGCCCTACCTCAATGCCGTCTGCAGCGAGGTCCTCCGCTACTTTGCGCCCGTGCCGGCCACCATTCGCGAAACTGCCGTCGACACGTCCATCCAGGGTCAGTTTGTGCCAAAAGGCACCCGCGTCATGCTCGTCCCCTGGGCTGTCAATAGGAGCGAGGAACTCTGGGGCCCCAATGCGCTCAAGTTCGACCCGGAGCGCTGGCTGCGGACCGATGCGGGCGGGCCGGGCTCCGGCGCGGCGAACGGCGGCGCTTCCAACTATGCCTTTTTGACCTTTTTGCATGGCCCGCGCAGCTGCATCGGCATGCAGTTTGCGCGTGCCGAGTTTGCCTGCCTGCTGGCGACGTGGATCGGCCGCTTCCAGTTCCGCCTCCAAGACCTGGCGGATCTGGACGAGAACAGCCTCGAGATCCAGGGCAATGTGTCGGCAAGGCCCAAGAAAGGTATGCACGTGTTTGCGACGCCGCTGGACGGGTGGTAGAGCAAAGCAGATAAACCAAAAAAAATTGATGACGAGACGATGATTTCAAATAGTTTGCCATACAACATAATGCAATATTTGGTATTTTCCATGTCAAAGTACTTTGTTCGGTGCGGATTACTTCGTAACCTTCTCAGCTCGTACCGAGAATCTAACGTAAGTACGAGATCGACGGTCTTCCTCGTCTACCTACTACCATGCTCATGGACACCTTGGGAGGAGCCAAGTCTCCGATGCTCGTCACACGTAATCTTCGAATGCCGCGTCAACCTTCGAGTTGACCAAATCAAAAGGTAGTCATTACGACATACGACGCACGGCATATATTGCGACGGAATTAATTTGATTCTTCTTCATGCGTGTTTGTTCACACTACAAAACGGTTTGCCAATCAAATTGCAAAGATCCTATGGCGAACGGCAAGCGGGAAGCGGGAGGACGCGAGCAAACACAAAGCGCACAGATATCCGGGTAGCCTATGCTTGTTTGAAACAAATAAGACGAGGGTCGTTTTCATTAAGACAAAGGCGGTGCACAAGCCCTCCAGTTTCCGGGGGGAGAGTGCGACCTCAACATCTAAAATCATGAAACAGAGATTACCCCAAAACAGGACAAGATGAGGGACGTTCAGACCTACTATATCCCCGTACAGGAGCACTGACCTTTGTTACATCATAGCAGAGGGAGGCCCGGGCGAGGCTACAGACGGGCCACTTGTTTCTTATCCCGGGAGAGGCTCTTTGACCTCCCCTTGTCCGCCACATATATTACCCCTGCCAATAACTGGAGGCAACTATAGCCTGAGCTTCAATTCGACGACAACGAGAACGCAATAATATCAGGAGGTAAGGCATCAGTACAGCTCTGCCTCCGTCTTTCTCAAACCTTACTTTGCAACTATCGACGGGATGCCGGCCGGAGAAAGTATGAGATAGAGAAGGCTGTGCGCCTGCAGGAATAAGTGCTTGCAGTGCTTCAACTCATAGGACAAGAAAACACACCAAAAGAGACGGGCTTTGCGTTGCTCTTGATCTGAGAATGGACTAACATAGATAAATTCTAAAAAAGTTGCGAATTTTATTTCAATTACTTTTTCTGAGACGCTCTTGAACAGACATCAGCGTTTGGATTTTGATCATGTGGTCAATTTACGACGAAGGCACAGCAAAACACGTCGTATGCAGACACAGAGAGGAAGGGACACGAGCATAAACGGCGTACAATAAAATTATGTTTGAGATGAAGGATGGTCAGAAGGTGTGTGCATGACAGTGCAAATATCGGTAGTTCATAGAGTTTTACATGAAAAAGAGAGACAGGCCTCCAACCTGATATAAGGGATAAGCTCCTCACTTCCCCCCCATTCTGCTCCTGAATTCAGAAGCAAGTGTCAGGCACGACGACGATGCACGCAGCACAGAGATGGTGGAGAAGGCACCGAGAAAGACTTAAAAGGCAGAAAAGACGCGACCAGGCCTCCTCAGTTCCTGCAAGGGATGGTGATAGTTATAGCCCCGTTGCGTAGAAAGGAAGGGGGGAGAGGGGGGTGGGCACAGCAGCATGAGATAAATAGTGTGTTGCTCCGTACAGATCTAAGACTCGACTTACAGGGCGTATGTATGCAAGTTGGCACTCTTCTTTCCTTCACTTTAGCAAATGTCTTGCCCAGTTTCCTTGTCCATCTGTTCTTCCCTGTCGCGATCTTGAGGAATGCGGAGTGTAAGTGCGCTTCAACTGAGACACGCAAGGGATAACGACGGAAGTTCCTTGGAGGCAGGTCAGCTGGCCCAATTTGTAAGATTAGATATGGTTTCCTATAACGAGGAGGAAAGAAGTAGATGGCTGTGAGGAGTGGCAAAGAGAAGAGGTGTTCGCGATGTTGGGATACTCTGACCGTTTTTGATAGCTTTTGGGAAAATAAAAAGTAAGAAAATCCAAGTAAATTATTAATGCGAAATGTAGATGCGATTTGCAGGAAGCTTAGGTAGGATATCGTAGACTAATAGTACAAAAAGTAAGATGAAACTGTTTCCGAGACTTTCTCAAGGAACGAGTAAAACAAAGACAAACAGTAAAAACATGACCCGATTAGATGCCCCTTTGAATATATGCAAGTGCCAGACGGCCTTCCCACGTCCGGTGTTCCTATCCCACCGAAGTACAATGGTACCTCCATGTTCCTCCCGGTGTGCGAATGCAGCCTCGTCGTGATGTTAAAAATATAGTACAGATAATATCATACAGTGGAGAAATGAAAAAAAAAAAAAAAAAAAAAGAACGATAATAGCAAAACGAGCCCAGGCAAAGCGGCTTACCGCCACGTTCCGTGGATCTTGCTCCGCCGCGTTCGCGAGCCGGGCTTTAGGCCAATGTCGCCGTGCAGCATAAGGCTCTTCCACCGCCGACCAAGGCTGTGGCGGTCCTTGCCTAGGCTGCGGGCGCAGTCCTGCCACTCTTCCTTGCTCAGCTTGAGCTTCTCCAGCACCAACTCGACTAGCATGCGGTCGTCCTCTGTGCTCCAGGCCTCGCCGTCTGCCTCAACCTCGACTTGCGTGCCAGCAACATGGTTGTGTGCGCGGCTACTGTCGTCGGGGATGCCGTCGGCGTGCAGGGCGTGGAAGTCGCTGCGCTCAAGACCGAGCGGCAGGGCCTCGGGCGCAATGCGCGCCCGCTTGGGTGTTTGTGGCCGGGGCGGCGTGGACGGAGTAGCGGAAGGAAGAGAATCAGAAACAGGAGGAGGAAGCAGCGTGGTGTTTTCTGATGCGTTGAAGGCAGGCAGGAACGGGTTCGCTATTGTTGCAGCCCGTGCCCGTCTTGTGCTAGTGGCAGACGTAAAGGGTGAGGAAGAAGGGTAGCGGCGCAAAGGGGACGGCGCTAGGAGCGAGAGAGTAAACGGCTCGCTGCTGTCATGTGACGACAGCGGATCCTCGGCGTCACCAGAGTCGCTGGCATCGGTCGTCTCGTTTTCTGCGCGGCCCATATCGTCGTCCACAGCACGCCGGCGCTTGTTCAAGCCGCGCGGCGTTGGTGTGGGTGTGGACGTGGCTGTGCGCTTGACAATGCCCCTGCGCGCAACGCCAGCGCTATTCGCCGCCTTGGACGGGGCGCTTGTTGGCGCGCCCGTTGGCGCACCCAGACTCTCCATGCTGCCCGCCCGCCGTGGCGTCCGTAGACGCAGCTTCATGGGTGACGGCGCATGGCCCAGGGGGGGTGTAGCCAGATGCTGGTGGGGTGGTGTGATTGGGAGCGAGGAGGGTGGTGGAGGCGCGGCGAGGAGGGCCTGCAGACTGCGGCAGGAGTCGAAGAGATGGCCGAGGGTGTTGGGCGCAGCCATCTGGGGCGGACTTGCGGGCGGCGAAGCCAGGGCCAGAGCGGCGGCGACGGCAGAGTTGGACGGCATGCGCGCGAGCGGCGCAAACGGAGAATGGGAGTTCTGCGACTGGTCGCAGGCAAAGCCTTGAAGTAGCATGGCAAAGCGCACACTCGTTGGCTCGGAATGGAGGAGTATGGGTGACGAGTGTGGAGGAATGCGGTCTGGCAGTTGAGGCTGTTTGCGACCGAGGAAAGCGCGCGGTGAAAGGATGCTGGGACTTTTGCGAAATTGCGAAGTGCGCCAGGAACGTAGATTCGAAGACAGGTCGAGGAAGAGAGTGTGAAGCTGTTTGCGTGAGAGACGATATTTGGAGCTCGAAGGCTTGCGAGGAAAAGAACGACTGGAATGGTGAAGACTAGACTGCGACGAAGAATGAAGGGATTCGTGGTCAGGGGAGAAGGGGGGAGGAGGTAATAATAAAAGAGGCGGCAGGAAGGGTCTCTTTGCGAGGAAAATGGAAAATGAAAAAGGGCGTCGTAGCCAGCGGCCAAGGGCTAGAGAGTGGGTAGTAGTGGGTACGGCGACAGGCGGTCGACAACGGGCGAGTAGGGCCCTGGACGACGGACTGTTGGCGAGAGAGGGAGACGAGATGGACAGATTCACCGCCTGTGTTGGACAAGAGGGGGGAAGAGAGACAGAAGGGAGAGAGGGGGGGGGGCGCCAACAAGGGCGTTTTCATCATTCACGTTTCTGTTTCCTGCGACAGGGGAAGGGAGGGCCCACCGCGCGAAAGCGACAGATATGACGGCCAGGGATGGGTGGAGAGGCAGTTGACGTGGGTGGGTGTGTGGGTGTGGACGAGAACCGGAAGGATGAAGTTAAAGTGGTTTTTTGTGAGAGAAGACTAAGAGGACTGTGAGTGGCGCGCATGGAGATAAAAGTGGAACCGCATGATTCACCTCAGACTGGCCAATGGCGCGGCGCGGTAGGAAGCTTTGACCGCTGCTGCCGTCTGGAGAAATGAGTACCTCAGACTTGCGAAAATAGTACTTCTAAACACCAGGCTAGCTGAGCCAGTCGTTGAATTTGCTGTCAACCAGCAGGACACTATACCTTTACAGAAAGTACCTTCTACCTAGCAGTTCTTCGTGTCCTGGACTGCGAGTGCCTCCTGCGGACAGGTACCGCAAATGGGCAGGTACAAGGTCGGGTACATTGTCAGGTACAGTGTCAGGTACAGTGTCAGGTTCATTGGCAGGTCATTGGCAGGTACATATCGATGTACCCTGCGCCGTTGTGGTACCTTCCTCCCACCGTCCCTCAACCCATTCGCACCTTCTCGTTGACTTCCGTATCGTCTGGGTCGCTGCTCCCGCAACGGGATCCGTCCCTGGGCATCGTCGTAAGACATCGTGTCTGCCCACTGCTGTCGCGACAGCACCCCTCGATCGCCTACGATGTTCGCCAATTTCGGCAAAGAGCGCCTTCCTTCTTTGCGCACCTGCACGCTGTCGCTTTCTGTGCTTGTCGCCTGCACCCCTCCTTCCTGCCCGCCGGCTCATTTCGATGGCCTTGTCCTATCCCTTTCGTCAGTCGATTCTCCCTGGCGCATCTCTCCCTTTCAGCCTCCCTCTTGTATTCTTCTCCTCCCTCTCCCCATAGCAGATGCCGCGCTCTTCGATGTCTCAAGCTTGAACGGCGCCCTTTACGTATCTTGTTTCTCATCGTATATTACTTCATGAGTGTCCCAATGCGATCTCAGAGACATGGGGGACGAACCAGCCTCTCGACCTCGTCGATCGAACGGGCCATGTTTGCTTGCCACCATTTGCGCCAATCTCGTCATTCCACTTTCATCCCGCTCGCTGATTCGGGCAGGCCTTTGTCTTTCTGCAGGCCGGGTTTTGCATCCTGCAGAAAGCACGAGCCCCAGCAAGCCTGGGTCCCCACGTCGGGCCTCATCTGTGACTTGCATGCGCCCATCCGTTATCGATTGCGTCCATCATCTTCTTATCGGCCCCTCGCTCCCCTCTCCCAGTATCAAAAGCGGCAAGCCGGGCATGGGCCTCGCCAGCACAGGCCACGTCAAGATCCCATCTGCAAAGCATGGCAGACACAACAGAATTGACCGCAGGGGGCCAGGCCGCCGAGCGAGAGGGGGCGAAATAGAAACAAAAATAGAAAGGGAGAAAGAGTTACGATACATGCACAGGCCTTCATTTCGTGCATCGTCTGCCGCGGGCATGGACACTCGACGGAGACATGCTCCGCTTGCACCGCGCTGCACGCTTTGTATGCTGTGCACGCTTGCACGCTTTGAACCGCAATTCGACTTACACGGCCACCTGCATGAACTGGTCTGACCTGTGAGGAAGTTCAAGCACAATGGCTTGCAGTACTAGTGCCTGCATCGGGCGCCGGCATACTCTGTTTGAATGCCACCAGGGCATTTTTCCAAGTGGGCGACTGAGCCCCTGCAGTGCCATGCAACGCTTGCAGGTGACAGTCAAATTTTGCTTTATTTTCCGCCTGTATCGGCAAAGATCTTTAACCTGGGAACACATCGTCGTTTCGGTTATCGCGATTTCCCTTACAGTTTCTTTCCCTTGTTTCTGATTGATCTTGACAAGTCTTGATCAGTCCTGATCTGACGTTTTCCCCTCAGCTGGCGTTTGGGTCTATATTTTGCGCCGCCTGATCGAACCCTGGATGGACTGGTTTTAGGTCGAGCGCTGTCAGCGGTCTGGCCCGGTGGTGCCCGTCGCCCGTCCATTAGAACTGTCTGTTGGGCGTCAAAGTTGTTTTCGCAATACCGATTTCGCGGCGCTACTGGCACAATGGTGCAATAGACACGACAGTACGACATACAAGCGCAAGAAGTGTCACATCGCGGTTGTTCAGCGCAAATTACTTAATTGTCTTGTCTCTGCTTTTCAGCTTGTATGAACTCGGCCGAACTCTGAAGGGATCCTGATTCTGTCGTTTCCATGGGGATCGGAGCCTCGCCTTGCTAGGCCTCGAGGGCCTTTTCATTCAACAAGATGATTTCGTTTTGTACCAGTTTGGCCCAGTTTGGTCTAGTTTGGACCATTTTGGACCATTTTGGACCTTTCGTTCTTGTCCGCACCGAGACACTTCCTCCCTGGATTCGACATCCCGCCCTCGATTTGTCCGATTTGGATCGACCCTTTGCTGTTTTAGTTGACAGACACAGCGACGCATCCTCTTTACCTTTTTTTTTTTCATGTTCTTTTCTTCCTTGGCCCCATCGTTCGCCATCTACCGCACCCCTCGGCCCCATCTGTCTATCCCACTCTGTGCTTCTCTGACCTCCGTGTGACGTCGTCGCTGGTCCAGTTTCTACAGTGACACACGTCCGTCCCTGTGGTGCATCCCTCTTTTTACCTCTTTAGCTTTTCCGATTCTCTAAACCATTTCGATCTGACTTGCGTTCCCTTTTAGGCCACTAGCATGCAAGGGAATATGGGATTGCTGCTCAGTTCACCAGCACATGACACGCATAGTGCGCCTCGTCTGCACACCTTCTTCCGTCTTAGTGTGCGGCCTTGGCTCGCATCTTGTCTAATGTCGTTTCTCTACTTTCGAGATGCCACGGTGGTTTCGGCAATTGTCCCTTTCAAGGGCAGTACTTTTTCGCCCCTTTCAATTTACTCTGCATTCCTCGTTATATCTCTCTCCTTAGCAATTTCCTTGGAGTATCACCTTACCGCCGAGACAGAATGGACAGAATGTGGCGGAAAGTGCGAGGGCGAGAAGGCAAGAGAAGACGGAAAGGGTTGCCACACTACAAAAGAATTGAAGATGATTTCTCAAACTCAAAAAAAGTGGCCATATTTTATCCCTTTGCACTGCTACTGTGCTGCTTGGCAGAAACGAATTATTGGACGTACCCATCCACCGAAAAGACGAAAAGACCGGCAATCGTGCATGAAAAAAGATGAGATGGCAGGCCGCGACGACCCATTTTCCCCGGTAAAACGTGAAAACCAATTTATGGAGCTGGCGAACACCTACATGTCTTTCTAATTAGTGCCTATATGAATGTATCTTTGAAAGGAAGATATGTTGGCCATTTTTTCTATTACCCGGTTAGACGGTCGAGCAGAAGTGCCTCAATAACGCGGCTTAAAGAAAATGGAGAGATGCAAAACGAAAGCAAATGAAAGTAAAAGATGATGGGAAGAAAAGTAAAATTATTTAAGGGGAACGTAACGATCTCGTTCCAATTCGAAAGAAAAGAAGGAAAGGAAAAAAGAAAGAAAGGTAAAAAAATAATTGAGAATTCGAATGGTGCTTCTGTGAAAGAAGCGCATCAGGATTTGAGCCCGATGCGGGGGTCGAACCCGCAACCTTGAGATTAAGAGTCTCACGCTCTACCGATTGAGCTAACCGGGCGTTCGATCTCATTGTTGAAAATCTAGCGAGTTACTAGCTATATGAAGACCATTCCATTTAGGCTAACTAACCAAGCTAGCACTGAAGTCTCTGAATGTGAAGTTTTGCCCCCTTGGGTTTAGGACACCGTCTTATGGAATAGTCTCTACGTCGTACACTTTGCTATCTATCAGTGTACTGCTCACCCTTGTTGGCTGACAACACTGTTGCATATCGTGATACGATGCTACATCTCCATGCGTCTGTAGCTCTGCATATCTGCTGTACGCAATTTATCTAACCCGAACGGCGACAGTGAGCACGCCGGCCGGCAATTCCTTGACGCAAACTTCTTTGACATTTGCCGTTGTAACAGTCTCCTGGCTATAATCATAACTCCAAGGCTGACCTAAACGGATGGGATTGGGTGGCTCTTTGTCATTTAAAAGTCAGATGACAATGAGGTCATATTCATTTACAAACGTACAAAGTACGTTGAACAAAAGAGGTGTGCGGCGTGGCAAAACTTGCGGTGACAAACGGGCAAAAAGTGGACGCCAATGGGGTTTTCTCCCACATATGTCGAACGACATACAACATGCTCCGTACAATACGACATATTTCAATACGACATATTTCGTCGCAAATGTTATCCCCACCGCTCACCGTTCACTGTATTATTCAATTTCCCGCCGCATCCGCCAGAAAATATGGAATACCCCGTACGATGTACAACATATTCAAAAGAACGACAAGAAAAA